TAATTAAATAATTAAATAATTAACATACTATGAGGTTTAATATTTTTTAAACTTGTAATTGAATTTAAACAATTATTTTCACAACATGAAATAAAAGATTTAATATTTTCATCACTATTAATTATATTCATAGTTTTAACAATTGAACATGAACATCTCAATTCATTACAAATAATAAAATTAAATTTTTTACATATTAATCTATAATTGTGAAATAGAAATTTAAATTCAAAATGATCTAATATTAAACAAAGTATTTCATTAGGTAATTCTTCTAATAACATGTTGTTATTATTTATGATATTTTCATTATGATTAATTTGATTAGATGTCATCTTCCGATTATTTTAGTGCACTTCTTATTGTTGTGTGAATTGTTTAGGCTGATCGATTGTGATGAATTTTTCTTTAAATTTTAAATAAAATTGTAATGATGAAAGAATTACCAAAAGTTCACAATCCAACAACAAATATTTCAATAATAATAAACAAAATAAACTGTATAAATAGTTTATTCTTCATCTTGTTCATCTTCATTATTGACTTCTTCTTCATCTTCATCTTCCAAGAATAAATCTTCATCAATATCATCCTCTTCAACGTATTGATTAGCAGCAGCTGCTTCACCAATTTTACTGATCAAAAGTTGTTGACGTTCTTCAAATATTTCTCTACCACTTTTAGGACCTGGTAATTTCTTAGCCTTTTCAATTCTTTGTTTTTCCATAATTTTCTTTTGTTCAACAACAAATTTATCACGCCACTCTCTAAAGTTTTCAATAGTAACAGGTGTTCCTCGTCCAATATTTGATGCTAATACTTCAGAATCCATTGTAAATCTATCCTTTGATGATGTTTCATCATTCTTTGTTGTTAAGATGATGAATTATCTTGTTCATTTAGAGCAGATTCACGTTGTTGATATTGAACTAAATATTCTTGAATTGTACTAGCAATAGTAAATACACATGATGTACCTAAAAATTGATTAGCTGTTTCTATTAACATGTCTTTTAATTCACTCATTTCACGTTTTGTAATAGAACCTCTTGTATTATAAATTTCAAATGAAGGTATAACTGATTCTGGATAATCAGGAGTATAATTAACTTCCAATGTAATACCAACACTATTAGTTTCTGTTTCCGATTCGACTGTATAGGGATAAATTTCAATTTTAAAATTTGTTGATGAATTAATAGTTAATTCTGTTGGATAAATTGATTGGAGTGCTTCCAATTCATTGGATTGTTCAATTTCATTTGATGATGACATTTTTAAAGATGATGATGAATTGTTTTAGGCTATTGGTTTAAAATATGATATGTTGATGAATTTTTTTTAAAGGCTTTCAAAAATTTATTATTAAAATAAAACAAAATCAAAGGCTAAAAGCTTTTTAAAATATGAATGGAAAGGGTTTGAATATTTTATTTTTTGAATTTTATTGATTATTTAAAATAATTGGACCAGTTGAAGAGGAAGAAGTGGAAGATGATTGTAATGTTATTGTTGATGAAGAAGTGGAAGATTGTGATGATTTAATTAAATAAAAATCAAATGATTGTAAACCAATAAATTCAACATAATCCATTTTCATTAATTTTAAAACAATTACAATATTATTATCAAATTTAATTGGAGCTATTAAAGAATCAGATTGTCTAAAATCATATTTCTTTTCTAAATTATGTTCCATTATTGGAATATTATTAAATAATTTAAATACTTTAATATTAATTAAACCTGTAATTGGAATATACATTAATGGTTTATCATTTAAATGTTCACTTTCAATTCTATAACATTCTGACCAATATCTTTGAAGTGAATCTAAATCATGAATACATGATTTAGAATAATGTTTAATTTCATTTCCACTTTTAGTAATTTCCATATCTATTTGTTTAGAATTTCCAATTCGAATATTAAATAACATTTCTACATTATTTATTATTGATGATGAATCAAGTAAAAATTGTGTACGATTTGTTAATATTAAATTGTTATTATTATTACTATTTTCAGTAGTAGTATTATTGATATTATTATTATTGATTGAATTTAATGATGAATTTAAATTATTATTAACATTTAAATTAGAGCTATTATTATTCATAATATTATTATTATTATTAGGAGGTAACATTAAATCACCTCCTCCTCCAACATTAATTTGTTGATTTGATGTTGTCATTATTATTGGTTGACCATTATTTAACATCATTATTGAATTGTTATTATTATTTAATATTGATGTTATCGGATTATTATTATTATTAGGTGGAATATTCATTATTGATGGTGATGTTATATTATTATTACTAGTAGTATTAGTATTATTATTAGTATTAGTATTATTTGTAATAGTTTGAATATTCTTATTAATTTGTTTAATACTAATATTAGATCTTTGTTTATTGAGAATATGGTCCGGAGGTAAATTATTATAATGAAGTGATGGACTATTCATAAATTGTGGTTGTTGTAGTAGTTGTTGAGGAGCTGTTGTTGTGGTAGTATTCATAGTAATATTATGATTATTATTATTATTTAATGGTAATGTGACTTTTATATCAAAAAGGTAATAAATTAAAATGTTCTATATCTTCTATCTGAATTTAAAGAATTTTCTTGATTAACTTCAATATTTTCATTCGTTTTGTTATTTCTATTTCTAAACCAATTAAAACCTCTTTCGAATAGAGCAGAAATGATTGCAATAATAAATAAACCTAAAATAACACTTCCACCAATTGATGCAACAACAAAACATGGTGATCCAAAGATTTTACATGAATAATCAGGTGTAATTGTTCCACAAGCCTTTTCACAATATGTACAATCACATGATAATTCACATGCTAACATTGTTCCATTATAAAATTGAGTTGTTGAATTATTGAAATCTTGAATTTTTCTAGTTTTGTAATGTTCTACTGATGGAACTGAAATATCTTCATAATTTGGTGATTGATCATATCTGAGTGGTGTTTTTGTAATATTTTTTGTAATTGTAAGTTTTTCAAGATGTGATTCACTTGTTTGGAAAATGTATTGAATATTTGGATTTGGAACTGCTAAATTTACCATTCCTTGTAAATAAGCTCTAACATTTGCATATGTATCTTTAACTGGTAATTGACCTAATTTAACATCTTTACAACTTTCCCAAATTTGATTTTGGAAATCTAATGAAACATAAAAATTAACTTCCTTAATATATTGAGCATATTTTGGTGTTTCATACATTGATTCAATGGTAAGAAAATGTCCTTGTTGATTACTGCATGTAAAATCACACCACATTTTCTTTAAATTTAAAACACAAGCAATACAACGCCAAAATCTAATTTTTCATATCAATATTAAAACAATTATCATTAAAATATATTTGATAAATATTAATCAATAGATTAATCCAAATGTTCAATGAAATTCCAAATGTGATTGTACAATCATTGTAACACAATTTCATATAACAATTAAAACTATTACATAATATTAAAACAACATACGTTGCATCTAAAAGTGTAAAACGAGAAACCATTGTAGAAACTTGAGTAGAATTACAACAAACTTTTTGACCAACTAAATGTGGACAAATTGTTCCAAGAGATGATGAAGCTTGTGGATCCAAATAAAAAGGTACACTATTCTTAACTGTTGGGAAATTATTTGTTCCATTCTCAAATCCATTACTAGTCATTAAACATAATCCATCATCATCAGCCTTTGTTGATGTTATTAAAGTAAAGAATAACAAAATACAAGAAATTATAAATATGATTGTTGATAATCTTTTCATATTGATCCGATTCGAGGTTTTATAATAATTTAATCCAAAAATCAGCAATCTCTCCTAGTAAAATAGATGATTGCAAAATGATATTTTGTTGTTGTTATTTTTTTAGATTTGAAATTGAGGAGAACGAACAAGCCTTTAATCGGAGTAGGAGGAGAAATAACTCTTGAAGTAACCAAGCAAACTACATTAATGGATTGAAGTTATTTTGTTTATTTACACCATCACCAAGGAAATGTACATTTTAAATTAGAATGTCATTAAAAGGAAGAGAAAATCTTATCAATTACATTTTCTTGTTGTTTGGTTGATTTTTTAAGCTTTTGATTTTCTAATGCAGTTCTTTGATGATTTTCTTGTTCTTCTTTTAACAAGTAGGTAAGTGTTTGAATTTCTTCAAATTGTTGTTTGTTAACTTGTGTTAATTGATCAATCTTTTTCATTAATTGTTCAATCAATTGATTTTGATCTACTGGTTGTTGTTGAACTATTACTTGTTTTTGAGATTCTTTTGGAGTGCTATTATTATTAGTATTATTTGGAATGTTTGATTCTTGTTTGACTGGTTGACTTGGACTATTTACAATTTGTGGTTGATTTACAGTTTGTGGTGGTTGAATAGTTTTCAAATTTGAAAGAGGTTTTAATGTTACAATAGTACCTTCAAACATGACATGAGATTTAGCTTGATAAGAATCAAACATATTTCTATAATAATCAAAATCATCAATAAATAATTTTTTCAAATATTGTTCAATTTTAGATAAATCCTTAAATAAATAAAAACCACCACCTCTACTATATTTTCTTGGATGTGAATCAAATATAAACCATGGATAATATTCATTCTCTTTTCCATTTAAATAACCATAACAATCATAAAATATAGCAATAGTTTCAGGTGGTTTAGTTAAAACTAGAGCAGTTACATCACTTGATGATTTTGTATCAATTGATTTTGATTCCATTTCTTTAAGTAATTGTTTAAAAGAAAGACTATCACTTAATTTTGAAATGTGCATTGATTTCAATTCAAGTGTTTTTTGAAAATATTCGTTATTAGAATAAACATCATCACATGATGTTAGTCCAACTTTTCTATCTCTTGAAACACCTAATTGTAATACATAATCAATATCATTCTTTGTAATTTTAAGATCTTTTGATGTTGATGATGAAATCGGAATTCTAAACTTGGAATAATTATTTAAAAAGTATTCAATAGCAGTTAAACAAATATATGTACACGATTGTTCTCCTCCATAGGTATATTGTGAATTATCAGATAGAATGGCACTATCAAATGGAAATGTTCCTTGTTGTTGTTGGTTTTGATTATTCATCATCCTTTTCAAAGCCTTTTGATGATGTTTGGTGATGTTTTTTTCAATATTTTGTTTTGTATTTTTAGATTGAACGTGATTGGAAGTTAATGGGTAAGTGGACAATATATGGGATAGAAAGTGATTAGAATTCCAATCATTTCATAATATAAACAAAGTTTTTCGTTATTCAAATTTGAAGTGTTGAGAGAGTGAATTGAAAGGTCATTATGATGTTAATTATTGAATTTTTATTGAAGAAATTAATTGAATGGCTTGTTGTGATTTACCTTCAATTAATAAAAGATATAATTGTACACATAAAAAGTAAGGTTTGATTTGATTTGGTAATTGATGAATATTTTGAGTAATGTGATGAAGAGTTTGTTGTGATTTTTCATAATTTCCTTGAATTAAATGAACAATTGATAAATTTAAAAGTAATATTTGTTGATATAATAAACCCTCACTTTCTGAATATGATTGTTGTAAATGTGTAACTAGAATTTGTAATTGTTGAGGTGTAACTATTTGAAATACTTTTTCTGATTGATCTGTCATTGTTAATGCTTCAAATGCATATGAAAGTGCAATTATAGTATATTGTACAGGACATATATTTAAATTTGAATATGAAATTGAAAGTGAAAGTATAGTTTTACAATGTGTAATTGAAATTAATGGATTATCTAAACATAATGAAACATATGCTAATTTTAATGTTACATTAATAAGTGCTTGTTGTAATCTAATAAATGATTGATTAATCATTTCATTATTACTTTGTAATGTTTGAAAATTATCATTTAAATTATATTTCATTTTATATTCTGATAAAATATTAGATAAAATTATTAAAGAATTATGAAAACATTTTTCTGCCATTTCTAATGACATTTCTTCTAAATTCTTTCTTGTAAATCTATCATTTAATAATTCAATATTATACTTGTTTTGTTTAGTTAATTCTTCTTCACATCTAGTAATTTATATATTTAATGAAATAATACATTTAATAATAATATTAAATATTAATAATATTAAATATTAATAATATTAATATGAATATATATTGAAATGGTTTCACATATTAAATAAAAGAATAAACTTACACATCTAAAATATCTTTCTGTAAAGAATATTTCTTAATTCCACAATTTGTTAATACTGGTAAATGAATTGTTTGATTTCCAGAACAATTATTTGACATTTGTTGAAATGATTCAAAAATTTCCTTTTTCAATAATCTTTGATTTTCACATAAAATACATTCTCCCATTCTAATCCATAAATAAGGATTATCATACATTGTTAATGAAGCTTTATGAAATAATTCATAACAATCAAGAAATGGATTATTTTTACAAAGGCAATTTGTAATTTCTTTAATTTTCTCAGATTCTCTTAATAAATATTGATAAGCTAAATTATAACAAGCAAAAGAATTATTTGATTTTGATGCTTTGGAAAAGTAAAATTGTGACATTGTAGAATTTCCATTTTCTTTTTTTAAATAAATACATCCTAAATTATTAAAATAAACAATTGGAGATAGTGATTCTTTATGATGAGTTAATAATTGAATACATTCTTTAATATTTTTATGATAAATTTCATTATTATTAGAATTATTTCTAGTTAAAGTTAAAAAACATTCGAGTAGACAAATTTTACTTGTCATGATACTATTAATATAATTATTTTCCTCTTTTGAAATATTTGCATTTTTAATAACATGATTAGCAGATTGAATAAAATCTAAAATGATTGAAATTTCATCTTTTTGTAAAATTGCTAATTTTGTCTTATAAAATAAAATGTTAAATTTTGATTCAGTTATAGAAAGTTCTGTTATATTTAATTGTGGAAGAGATGGTATTGTACTTTGAATAATAGATTGAAAATTATTATCAATATATTTAATTACATTTTGTGATTTTTCAATTGATTTCATATTATCAATAAATATATCTAATAATAAAAAACATATTTTTAAAACTAGAAATTCATCATATTTTAATAATTGATTATTAATAGAATTTTCATTATTAGAATCTAATGATTCAAATAAAGGCTCCAATAATTCTAATACTTTGTTATATTTTTCCTTTTTATAATATAATACAGATTGATTGTAAATTAAAATTGGAAATTGATGATTAGAATGTTTTCTAGTTGATTGTTTAATTTCTTCCAATTCTAAAAGTAATTTTTCTTCCGAATGATTTTCATGTAAATATTTTACTATTGCAATATTATGTTTAATTTTAAATATTTCTGTTGTATTGGTTGTTTCTTTTAAGAGTTTATTTAAATTTTCCAATGATTGTTCATATTCTTTATTATTAAAATGTTCCATTGATAATTGATGATAATCCATTGATGGAGATGAATGTTTTAATGAAGATAAAGATGATGTTGGTGATTGAAGTATTTTAGGAGGTGAAGTAAATACTACTTTTCTTGATGGCATTGTTAATATAAAATTTACAAATGATGATATAATAAATTATAATCGGATCTCAGAGAAAATAGCCTTCTCTATGCTGCAGAATGAGGCTGAATCAAAAGAATTAATGTTGAGAGAATTTTTTCAAGCCTTGTTCCGAATTTTTAATTTTTAAAAAAAATACAATCATCAGAGAGACAGAGAACTTAGAGTTGTGTTTAAAAGATCATCATGTCATCTTCAACACCAATTAATTTATTATCGGAAGTAAATACAACACCAACAAGTAATGTTGGTACACCTTTAACTTCAACACCAATTAATGATCAATCAAATATTGATGTAAATAATCCAACACAACAACAACAACATTCACAATTAGCAGATGTTAATTATTGGGACAAGATACAAAAAATTCTTAAAAAGATGGAAAATGAAGTACAACAAGTTAATGATAATGGATTAGTTCATCCATTACATATGAGTGATAATATTTTGGAAAGAAGAGAATCTCTTAAACATGCAATTTCAATTATAAAACAAAGAGTTGAAGAACAATTAACTATAAAACCAAGAGCATTTCTTGAAAAAACTCAACAACAATCAAAATCAGTTAAAGAATTTAATAGAATTCAATTACAAGAAAGAGAACTTTTGGATGCCATTCAAAAATGTACAGAAAAAGTATTAACACAATATCAACATCAACAAATAATTGAAAGAATTTTAAATTCTGTTGCTAAAGAAATGAATGAATTTATTGGAAAGGAAGATTATGCTGCCTTACCAATAACAGATTTAATTAGTTCTTCAGATCTTGTTACTGGTTATTCAATGGGTTGTGATATTTTAAATTTGGATGTTGAATTTACTGAAACAAAAGAATTAAAATCAATTAAATTTCAAAAAACAAAACAAGGAAATAATCCAGAATCACAACACAAAGAAATTAAACCAATTTCAGAAGATTTAATGAGTACTCTAGTTAAAGATAGGAATCCTGAATTATTTGAAAAGAAATTATTAGATGTTTGTAAATTATATCATCTCGTAGCAAGTAGACCTAATTGTATTGTTACAGATAAAGCAAGTTTAAGATCTACACAAATTAATGATACAAGTTCATTCTTAAAAAGTACAAGTGTAATGAGAGAATTTGAACATTATATTACAAGAGAAGGAAATTTTCCATCTGACAAGGTTTCAATAATATGTGAAGGTGTTTCTATTAATTATTTTAGAGATAGAAAAGTTATTGTAACACTTGAAGGATGTGCTGGAAATGCATTACAACAAACATGTCCTGTTATGGTATTTACTGAACAAACTTTAATACCTCTTTATACAGCTAAAAATTTGAATTTCCTTCAATCCATTATTTCATCACTTAAAAAATCAAGTTTAGAAAAACAACAAGAACCTGAAAATATTTTACCACCTGACTTTACTAGGGATATGAGTGTAAATGAGCAGTATAATAGAGATATTAGAGTATTGGAAACTTTTCAAAATTGTTTATTATCAGGTTATTCAACAAGTTCAACAAAGAAAGTACAATCAAGTGTATATAACTTTGTTTCAACTACTTCAAATATTTCTGAAAAATTGGCAACAAATTCTGGTGTTTTTATTAGAAGAGTTCCATTCTTGAATTTTGATCAAATGAGATTTACTTTAGCTGTCATGAAAAAGCACATGTTACTTAATGATATTCTTCTTTCATGTTTTAGCCAAGTTCAAGATTCTTCTAAGGGTCTTCTTGATAATATTTGTACACATAATACATCAGGAACATCAAGACATCATACAGACAATAGTAATCAAAGAAGAGTTGAAGTAGAGTACTCAACTCCAAGCGATATTATTTATATCAAGACAACTACAGATAATGACTTTGTTGAAATAAGAGTTGAATATGATCAAGAAAAAGAACAACCACAAGTTTATGTTAATCAAAATTTAAATACTGCCATGTCTGAACTTTTGAACAAGACTTATAACATCCCAATAATGGTACATTACTTTTTCACAAAAGTATCTATGCAATTAAATTAAAGAATTTATCGTTTTAATTCATTTATGATAGATTTAAGCTCTTGTGTTATCCTAGATTCAATTGTATACAGATTCTTATCTTGTTGTTCCTTAAGTTTTACTGATTCCATTTGAAGTTGTCGTACCTCTTTCTCTAGTTGGTTAACCTGAGTTTCTTTCGAGTCAAGCTTGAAAACGTAACCATCAAGTTCTTTCTTGTGATTAAGGGCCTGTGTGTTCATCTTTTCTACTGCCTTAAGAGCATTTTCATCTGCTTCTCTAAGCTTTAATTGGAGTTGATTAATAAGAATACTCTTTTGGTCTGATTCATTTCCTAGGTCAATTAGTTGTCTATCTAATTGTTGAACTTTCTCGTTAAGTTTCAATAAATTTGATTCCATTTGCTTATTCTTATTTTTCAATCTTTCATGCTCTTCTCCTAATTGAATATATTTGTCTCTTTCGTGTTGTAACTTTTCATTAGTCATCTTGTCAGCGTGAATTTTATCTTCATCACACTTTGCCTTCAAGTCAATTAATGCTCTCTCTTTTTCCACCTCCATCTCAGAAATACGTTGTCTCATCTTACTATATTCTTGTTCGATCAGTGTTAGTGAACGAACACTTCCTTGTAAAACTTCTAATTGTCTGTGAGCATCATTCAATTGAGCATTGAGGTCACTTTTATCATTTTGGGCACTGTACAATTTATGGTTGGTATTAGCCAACATTTCTTCCTTAGTTGTTAATTGTTCATTCAATTTTTTGATGGTTGCTTCATTTCTGATTTTTTCTCTTTGAAGATCGTCTGAGAGTTCTCTGAGTCTTAACACTTCATCAGATGAATCTTTCAATTGCTTTCTTGCTTCATTATGAGCCTTTGTTTCATTCAACAGATTTTGTTCAACAATTGCCAATTTTTCCTCAACGTCTTTCAGCTTTGAATAATATCTATTTTCATTATTCTTAGTTTCTGTCAAATCAGAGATCAATCTAGTGTTGTGTTTTTCGAGATCTAATAGTTGTTCATGGGCACTTTTGATTTGATTGGAATAGACACTTTGTTGGGATACCACTTGGTGTTGAAGAGTTTCAATTCGTTTCTATTCCAATTTGATTACATAATTTCTGTTTTGATACTTACGTTTTGCATTGAACTCAGTTCACTTATTTCAGTTTTCAATTTTGTTGACATTTCTGATTCTTTTTGTTTGGTTACCATCACATCGTAATTTCTTCTAATCATTCTATCAATTTCTTGTAAAGTTTTGTAATCGATCTCATTACCTGCCAACTTCAAATCAATAATTGTGTAATTGTCATGTAATGCTTCCATGATATATTTACCACCTCTAACTCCCAAATAGTTCCATCTCAAATCCAAATTTTGCAAAACACTATTTGCTCTCAAAGCATTAGAAAGAGAGTTTGCTCCTTCAGGTGTAATTTTGTTATTCCTCAAATCCAGTGTCATAAGGGACTTGTTAGACTTAAGAGCCTCAGATATTTCAGAAATACCAGTTTCATAGACTCCCAAACTGTTCCATTCACATTTGAGTTCTCTCAAAGTGAATGTTTTGGCAAGTAGTTGTGCCAACCCATTGGACCTATATAAATTGGCTCCTCTAAAATCGAGGGATTCAATAACCTTTGATTGCATCAACCCTTGACATACGGCATCAACACCCGAATCTCCCATATAACTTTCAGCTAGATTAATATGAGTAAAAGTTTGATTTGAATGTAAAGCTTGACCGATAGCAATACCATTCTTTGTTCCGAGTGTTAGTTCTCCTAAATTTAAAATCTGAACGCATTCATCATCATCGTTAAGATTAACGACCATCGATAGAGGCTCAATGCCTTGATCTCTACAGCCAGCAATATATTGCTTTTTAAAGTTTTTCATTTTTTTTAAAATAAAAAGTGTAAAGCCAGATGGCGGGAAAATATCATAACGAACAATATGATAGCCAAAGACAAATAAGTGATAGATGAACTCAGATATGAGGTTGAGATAGAGAGAGGATCACAAAAATCATATACTATACATTGTTTACTTTTTTTGTTTAATAATCTTTCTTCTTTGTTCCAATATTTCATCTTCCTTCTCTACTATTGTCTTGTATTTTGTCCGAAGTGAATCAACTTCTTTACGTGTTAATAAATAAAAGTTAAACATTGATTTTGTTAATCTTGGATGATCATAAAACTTTTGAGGTTCTTGATTAATGAAATGAAGTATATCACCCATAGATTTCATTGCTAATATTTGATTTTCATATATTTTCAGATAGCTCAATACAGTTCTGAAAAGAATTTTACTTCCCTCAGCAAAAACCAAATCTAAAATCCTCAAACTGCATTCTATAGTATTTAATATTCAATTGTACAATAATATTCAATAATATTATTCAAATAGTATTTTAAAAAACAAATGACAATTAAATTGACTTACCAACTGGGAAAATATCAAGGAAAACTCTCATAAACCATCCAGAGCAAAATGCTGTACAATCTAATTCTAAATTTTGAAAATGTGAATGAATTTTTGGAAGTCTATTCCTTATTAATTCGTCCAATACTTTAGAATCAATTCTAATTCCTGTCAATTGTGGATTATAATAATTTCTAGGTAAAATTTCCTCAACCAACTCTACAAACAACCAAAAGGCTGTTTCTTCATCACAATGTAATAAAAGCATTGCAACAATGTAATTTAAACTTTGAGCATAGGCCACATATGGATTTCTCCAAGAAAATGCAATGAGAATTCTCTTCAATTGTTGTCTTCCTTTTGAATTCTTTTTTGCAAAGAATGGATGTGATGGAAATGTACGTGAAAGATCCAAATCAATTTGATGTTCAGCTTCATTAAATACATCTTGATGAACTTGTAACATTTTTTGATAATATCCTTGATTTTCAATCATTTTCTTATCCACATTATTAATTTCTAACCAAAGCTTTTTTCTGTAAGCTGGAAATATTCCATGTTTTCTTATTAATGATTTTACAGTACTATTATACACAACCTTATTATAAACTATTATATTTACAATAAAATTATTCCACATTTACATACATCCATTATTAGTAGTCATGAAATATTCAAGCCAAGCTTCTTTACAATCTGTCATGTACTTTTTTCTCAAAGGACTTGACATGTATTTATCAAATAATGCCTTTTCCTCTTTTTCGAAATCAAAACAGGCAGGAAATCCACAATTTTCCATACCTGCCCACTTTTCATTTGGTACATTAGAATCCTCATCCTCTTCTTCCTCTATTGCTATTGTTGCTTTTCTATGTTTGTTGCTTTCTGCATCAACAATCACTTCTTTATCTTCCAAATTAATTATAGATGATGATGGTGAATTTGGTGAATTGATATTTTCTTTTACTGGTGATGCTGTGAATGTTGTTGGTGTTGATGATTGTTGGTTTACTTCTACTAGTGGTGATGAATCTTGTATTTCCAAGAGAGTTTTCTTATCGGAATCCTCTTTAACATCTTCAATAGTTGGTGTTGAAGGTTGTGAATTAGTGTGAGATGATGGCAAAGAGGACGATGATGAAACAGTTACTGTCTCATCAATTTCGTTAGGGTTACTAATGGTGTGGCTCTCCTCCAACATCCTGTTGTGATAAAGGAATTTTTTATTTGTTTGTTATTGCACGATGATGGGTCCATTATCATCATATCAATAATCAGTAGAAAGACTCCTCTTCTTTATCGTAATGAATAATATCATAATCAATTCCGAGATGATTGAGTAAATTGCCCAAACTCATTCTCTCTGATGTTGGTTGTAGTTTATCAACAAGTGTGTAAATCATTTCCTGACATGCTACTCTCCATTTGTCTATTAAGTCATCCAATTCATCTTCTTCATCCTCATCAAAACAAGCCTTGTTTAATGTTTCAATAGACTTTTTCAACCTTTCAATTTCCACATCTCTCCTATTGACTTGTTCAGTTGTATAATCTAATTCAGTTTCATACTCATTGGAATGATGATTTGAAATTAGGGGTGGATTCTGATTGAGTTAATAGTTTCATAATTGAGAAAAACATACAAATTTATGTTTCTTGTTTAAACAACCATGATTTGAGTGAGTTGCTTCTTCATGAGTTTTCAAACAAGCCTTGTTTTGATCGAAAGTTGTAAATGTTGAAGAGGGAGTGTTGCTGATTTCCATCATTTCAATTATTTTGTTTTTTTTAAATTTAAAAAATGTCATCAACACCTCTTGGCACGCCATCAGCTACTAGCAGGCAACAAGCCTTGAAACGACTTCCACCAAAAGTAAATCGTATTCTTTGCCTAAAGAACCTTCCTCACAAAATAACATCGGATGAAATGTATGATCTTTTGGGAAAGTTTGGTGCGATCAGACAAATTAGACTCGGAAATACTACAAAAACAAAAGGAACAGCCTATGTTGTGTATGAGGATATTTTCGATGCCAGAGATGCCTGTGAAGGTCTGTCTGGATTTAACGTAGGAGGAAGATACATTAGTGCCTATTATCACCAGGCAGATAGATTACAGAAAAAATTGGATTTGGAAAAGAAGAAGGAAGAATTAGAAAAATTGAAGAAATTGGCTAACCTCTAATTTTATTAGACAAATATGCAATAATTCTACGTTTTAACACCTCTCTACCTCCATATGGATTAATATCATTATCCTCACAATATGATTTCATACTCGATAGATTTGTCAATTTAAGATTATAGAAAAGAGAGTAAACATTATCTGTATCAACACTCCACGAAGTTACAGGATTGGAAGATGGTTTCGAAATTGTGGATCGTTTTTGAATTGGTTCCTCAATAAACTCATCATCACTTTCTTCCTTGTTTTCCTTAGTTTCAATAAGTTCTGATAACATGTGTTCACGTGAAGAAAGCATTTCTGAGGTGTTCGATAATCTCTTACTCTTAACAGCAGCTGCCAATGGGCTTGTCAACACAACATCAATGACAGGTTGTAAAATATCCAAAACTTTTGTCACTAATTGTTGTTTTGTGAGTTGTGAAAATTTCTTATCAGAGTGGGAGTAACAGTAATCTCTTAATTCTGATACAGTGTAATGTTTGACTAATTCTTGCTCGGTAATTCCATATCTAATCTTTGGCTTGGTATGTTTTGTTGTTTCCTTCTTTGAGATTTTAACCTTATTCAAAGGAGAGAAAATTGGTGAAAATAATTTAGAGAGGGATTTCTTATTGACTGGAGTTTTAAGTACACTGAATCTCTTAGGAGTCTTAGTTGTATCAAATATACTATCATTTACAGGTGATTTTGGTGAAGCAAAACGTTTTTGGCTTGGTGTACAAGGAGAAGGATCTTTTTCATTTGTTGTGGTGGCAGTTGTTGATGAAGATGTTGGTGAATTGAGTTTGTTTTTTATATTTCTTCTCTTTGTAAGCCTACTTTTAACTGGTATCGGTGAAGCAAAAGTAGTGGAAAGAGTATTTGGGTCAAGTGGTTGGAGAGGTGTTGTTGATTTTCCTGTTGGTGTTTTAAATCTAACTTTACAGGTAGATCCAATATTTTCATCCGATCCTACTCTTACTGTCTTGGATGGTGTATGATATTCAAAGCGTGGCTTGGTTGGCGTCAGAATGGTAGCATCAAGAAGTTCCATTTTTTTTATTTTGAATTTTTGAAACGGTGCGTTTTATTGAGTTTTGGCGGGAATATTTCTTGTAACGATTTTTACCTCTTTCTTATCTTCTCCAACGTTTGACAGAGTAATCTGAGCATTTCCTTTGATATTTGTTTGATGGACTGAATGGAGAAGGGCCATCAAGAACCTTGCCTTGGATACATTCTGATTGCCAAGATGACTATATTGATACTGCTCTGTTAAGGTTGTTGTTTGATTATTGGAGAGATTATCATTGATAATTGAGGATATCTTTACAATTGGTACAATTTTTTTCTTTTCAGCATTCTCAATGAGATTGTCAATAATGGTCTTTGTTCTTGGAACTGTCACTTCAACTGTTTCTTCTTGCATTTCAACACCACCCAGCTCTGTATTATTATCTTGCTGATCTTCCAATAAACTAATTTCATTTCCGAAAAGATAATCATCAATCCCACCATATTCACAATCATGATAACCTCCTAGTTCATACATTGCTCTTTCAGGCAGTTCTCCCTCAATTGATCGTGATAAAATACTTGACAGTTGGATAATGTCAATGTTAGGAAATAATAAGGAACCAGTAAAATCTGGATCTAGAAATGGTTGATTAAAAGCTTCACTTGGTTTTTTAAAAAATCCATTATCAACATTATCTGATCTTGGTTTTACTTCTATCAAGTTGTCTTCAACTCGTTGCTTCGTTCTTAAGGTGTTTTGTTTTGAGCTCTTTTTTCTTTCAATAGTGGTATCCATGTCAATAATTCTATAGTATTTCAACTCAGCTTTTTCCTTTGGCTTAGGAGCCTCAGTTACATGTTCAGGTTCCTTATTTTCACATTCTATTTCTCCAACATCTTCATTCTGTTCATACTCTTCCTCATTTTCCTCAACAACCATATCAATCCCACCAATCTCGATTGTGTTTTCCTCAACAGCAGTTGATTCCTCTTGGTTGTCAATTATCATTGGATCATCATAATGCATTTCAATTTCATCATATATATTAATGCCCTCCAAAGCAAATAATTCTTCAACTTTCTCTTCTTCCATTTCCAGCACTGATTCAAATCCTTGGAATATTTCAATTAACGTATGATGATCCAATACCTCATTTCCAGTCTGGTGAGATGTTTTGAAGAAATCAGATTGATGATAATTTAAAACATAATAATTGTGATTATTAGATGATTGAGGAATCGGCAACTCTTCCAACTTTTGATTAGTTGAGATGTGTTCAATTTCTGAAGTTAAAGACAAATACTTTTCAATCTTCTCTTGATCATTTTCTTTAAAAGCCTTGTATCTTTCTTCATTGAAAATGAATTCGAAGTTTGCTGATAACAATTCGTCACCTAATCCTTCATCCTTCTTTTCAGCCTTCGATGAATTTGATAATGTTTTTCTTGCAACAATATGATCAACACTTTTGACTGTCTGTTTAATCATCTCCTTAATCAGCTCTGATCTGATTGAAACATTTACTGATGCATTCATGATGGAGCTTTCAATTTCAACTAATTCGTCATCATCAAGGCTAGTAGTTTCATTCATTACGAAGGAAGAAAGTGTAAGATTCAAAAACCTATCCTCAAAAGGATTTTTACAATGTTTCCTCTTTTCAACCTCTTTTAAAACCTTTTCATCAATATTCTCAATAATATTCTTCTTCATGAAAGTTGTTAGGTAAGTTGAGTTGTTTTTTTCAATTATTAATAAAAATGCAAAATGATGAAACAAGGAAGAGAAGGCTTGACTCCATCATGAAACACCTATTCATGTCCAAGCCTCTCCAATATTCTATCACAATGGCATCAAATTTATTAAATCAACAACAAAATAATAATCATAATGATTCGGAATTAAATATTAATGAAAGTGAGAAGAAAAAAGTTATGAATGGATCGTCGGATGAACACGAAGCAAATGACAAGGAAATTAATATGAACGAGAAAATGGATAAATCCCTTTCCATTGATCATCAACAAGTAATCAATGATTTGGAAATGGATAAATTAACACCTAATCAAGCTTTGGATTTGGCTAATATATTAATTGACAATTTACAATTTGACCAAGCAAGACAATTTATATTTGCTGTTCTTCCTTATATTCCATCTAGTGACGACGAAGATATTCAAAATGAAAATTCAAATCCATCAAGAAGAGTATACAGATTGATAGGATTAAGTTACTACAAGAATAATGAACTAAAAGAGTCATTACCTTGGTTTAGGAAAGCTGCTTTAGACTCAAAATCAGTACAAGATTGGTTTAATTTAGCAAATACTGCTGCACAAGTAGATAATAAGGAAAGCTCACTAATTAGATTAGCAAATTATGCATTTTCACAAATTGAGGAATTGCAAAAGAATTCGAATTTTCAACTAAAACCATCATTTTGGATACAATTATACTATTTCACAATTGCTTTAACGAATGGTGGACATTATAATGAAGCATTTAATCAATTGAATAGATTAAAATTAGCCTATAAGCGAGCTAGGTTTACTGATAAATCATATTTGGAAGAAATAGGGTTACCATCATTTGATTCCTTCATAAGTTTAGCATTAACTCTATTCAGAAGAGTTGACAGACAAAATCAAGGTTTTGAATTTTTGAAACAATTGGAACAAAATGTTGATGATGCTGGAAAACAAACTATTGAAAGAATTATCAAAGAAACTGCGAATCTATCAGATAGTAATTAAATTATTTGTTACTTTTCTTTTTCTTCTTTTTCTTTTTAGCTAATACTTTAATTTTACTTTCATCTTCGTCATCACTTTCCTCCTTTTTTCTTTTAAGAGAATTTTGTTCTGTTGTTGCTGTTGTAGAATCTGTTGTTGGTTTTTGTTCCTCTTGTTTTACTTCTTCATCAGATTCATCTCCATAAGAAATAAGTTGTCCTTTCCTTTTCATTCTTTTACGAGCATCATGTTTCTTTAAAATTAAGAATTTTAAATCACTATTCACTTTGTCAATTTTGTTTTTTTGTTGTTGTTTTAGGTTTTGTTCGGAAAGTTTATCGCCTTGAATTCCCAATCTTTTGTTTTGTTGTTTTCCACTTCCTTGTTGTTGTGAAAAGAACTTATTCATTACTGCTTGAGATGACTGTTTTTGTCTCTCATTGGATGCTTCATCATCACTTGATGAAATCCATCCATCAACTATTGACTTTGTTTTACTCATTTTTTTTTTAAACTTCAATTTATTTTAAAACCTTTCATCTCAGAAAGGTTTTGTCAATAAAAAGGTAACTAAGGGGGGAATGAGGAGTTGGGAAAGAGTTTGCACAGGATTTACAATTCATCTTCAAGGAAAGCATATTCAAAACTGAAACCATCCTTAATTCTTTGACACCAAAGTGTTTCAAAATCAAAGTAAACATAGGTTCATTGTTCATAATCATTAGTTGTGAGAGTTGGTTTG